CTGAAATCGGATTCTATCAGGAGGATGACGAAACTACAAGCACGCAGCACATTCTCTACATACCTATCCCGCGTCTATGACAGGCTCGTGGAGGAAAAGGATGTGAACGCAGAGAAGCCAAAAGAGGCGGAAGGCCAGCTTGAACTGATGTTGCGCTTTCTGCAGAAGGCCGCTCTAAATCTGTCGCCCTTTGCGGTGGCTACTGTTTGTTGCGGAGAGAATGTGGAGGTGAATAAGGAAGTCGATTCCTTGGGGGACTTTGCCATTCCTCCTTTCGGACCGTCGGCCACTGTGGAGGAGAAGCGGAAGCACTTGGTTCAAGTTCTGGACACATTCATCCGTATCTACATATACGAAACAGCCCTTGCCTGCTCAAAATTAGCCCCCGATGTGAGTGCTGGCGTGGATAAGGATAGTTTTCAGAAGTTCCTTCAGGAAGCTTCTGAGTCCGAGCTTGAGGCCGCCTTGTCAGAATACACGAAAGTCAACAAGTCTGTCAGCCTTTTTATTGGCGTTTCTCAGTGCAATTCGGTCTGTCGTGCGCGTAATCGAACAGCGCCTTCTTCTGCGAATTTCAGCCGCAAACTCACAACACCGCGTTATGGTACAGGAGGAGGAGGAGGCGGGGGCGGCATAAGAAAAAACCTGTCCAACCAGAGCAATCATAATTGGCCAAAGACCTCGGCAAAGACTAAACGGGCCAACGGTAAGTTCAGGAGTCCCCTGGTGAGTTGCCGGGACGATACCCCAGTCTCGGATCGGTTGGTTGCAATGCCAATGAGTCAAAACAGGAAGATGCCCAAGAACGCCTGCTTTGCAGTCTGTCCGTGTCCCGTAGTCAACACAAACAACAAAAACATGCCTCGGCACCCCAACGAAAACATGGCTTTCGTGCTTGTGCGGCGTGACACCCAGCCAGGACCTTGTCCTTCCATGGGACTGGGTATGCGGACTGATTTGGTTCGGCGCCCCTCGGAGCGAACAGATAGGCGCACCGAGGGACAGAGGTCTGAGCCGGTTGTGCTTACCGCAAGGTCTCGAGACAACGTCAGGACAGAAAAAAGGCGTGCCCGGCTCAGTTCACGTTCTCTACCTCTAAGGATAAAATCGGGACAAAAACTGGCTAAGCTGCCAACGCTAATGGCAGAGCCGCTCACTTCCACTGAAAGTCTTACGAAGGATGCTGGCGCATCGCCCCGGCAGCAACGGGAGCAATCCACCCCATCCTCCAGAATCCTCAGCTGTCCCCTTATCACCACCTCTTCCACCACGGACCCCTTGAGTGAAGTCCATTCTAGTCCGTCCGGCAGGACTTGGGAGGGTTCGCAAGTCCAGTCCTACAGATCACTGGGTCTGACCTCATTTGATTCCCGGAAGGAGCAATTTGGACGAGATCTGCTGACCTCTGGTAGTGCTGAAAGTGTCATCACAGGACGCAGTCTGTTAGCAGACGTGTTTCCCTACCTGCCCAACAGACCATCCTATAATCTGATCGACTTGTCCTAGTTGAGTGTGACACTCATTTGCATAAGTCAGAATGAGAAAAAAAAACCAGTGAAAAATTTTTGAAAACGGATAAAAATTCCTGTCAATTGGTCTTATTTTGCCGAAAATGTGCAAGCATGGCCTAATTGTAGGTTGCATGATGGATAAGCCTACGGTTTTAGATACCTGTTTTGCGTTTCAGGCTCCCGTGCGAGATAAAACGATCGGCAAAGGCAAAATGAGCGTTCCCAACCCTAAGTACTAACAGGGATTTAGGCAGGAGAATATTTCCGACAAAGACCAAGGAGATTGGAATAGCCATTTCTGGTTTATCAGCTGTCATCAGGCATCCATATCTAATCTCATGTGTTGCGCCACGCAAGACTCGATCTAGCGAACCATTGACTAGAAGTCCAAAGCTCTAAGTATTGCACCCTGGACCCGTGATCTTGCCTGTTTTAGCTCAGGAGATTTTCATACTATCGCATTGGCGCTCGCTGGTTGATTACGAGACTCACTTATTACCCTCCGCGGTCGGGCTCACTGTAAGTCACTACTAGTCAGTTTCTGGCTGTTGGTGGGGCTCTTGAGTGAGTTCAATTAGAGATCACTGAGCGTTCACTAACTAAAATCAATATTCCTGCTCTAACCGACAAGACAAAGAACCCCTGGCTTAAGGAGCAGAGCGTTAGACTATCAGCAGAGTCCAGACGGAAGGAGATTTGACTTGGGGAGCATACGACCAGCCAGGAGAGCCAGTCGAGTCCAAGTGTCGTCAAGCTGCAGCCACCGCCTTGAGGTTTTTTGTGAGTC